AGGCTAGTATTTCATACATTGAAATCATTTTTACACTGTACTCCACTCATTGGCTTCCAGGTAGAGTTATCGATCCAGTAGCTCGCGCTTGTCATGTGGCACTGGGGAGTGTGGGATGCTGTAGCATCTGCTTGTGAAGGGGTTTGACGGGTGTGAATGCGCTTACGTGAATGCGGATGTATTGTGATCGGGCGTCCGTGCCTTTGTGAAAGCATGAGTGGTTCAGTACGCGTGGGAGTGGATATATAGTGCTTTACACGTTAAGCATGCGTGTACATTGTTGTGTGTGTGTGTGTGTATGTGTACACGTGTTCTCTTGTAAATGACTCAGGGTGTGAAAAAGAGATCACATAAGTCCGCGTGAACGTGGGCGCAAATGACTATGTGCTTGTACTCGAGATTGTTCGTGTGCATGCATGAATGTCTCGGTTTTGCACTTGCATGGGTGCCTATATACGCAAGAGAGTGTGTGCTTGTGCTTTTGTAATTTCGAATCCGTGCATGCATGTTTGTGCATGTGTCTGGGGCAATCTTTGGGCGTGAATCTGCATACGAATGAGACGGGACGTGAATCAGGGCGATGTGCTTTAGTGTCAGAAAAAAAGAGAGACTGACCCAAGAAGAGTAAAATAGAAGGGAAGGGGAAGTTGAAACTACGAAGAGAAAAGGGAACAGGAAAAGAGAGGATGAAAGAATGGGAGAGAAAGAAAGGGAAATAAAGAGAGAAGGAAGGTAAGTGAGATTTAAAGGCCAAGAAAGAGAGATTGAAGAAATAGAGAGAAATCAAAAGAATCCGAAAGGCAAATGGAGTAAGACAGAGAGAGTGAGAAAGCCGGAGAGTGAAAAAGAATCGAAAACAAAGGAACGATTGTAAAAAGGGAAAAGTGTATGAGAGAGAAAGGGAAATGGGACGAGAATGAAAAATAAGCGGGAAAGTTAGAAGAGCGAGTACAGAAGAGAGGAAGAGAAAGAGACTGAGAGAGAAAGTGAGGGAAATGGAGCGGCATGTAAGTTGCGTATTCAAGAGAGAAAGAAACAGAAATGAGGATGGCAAATAGGGGCGAAAGAATGGCATAAAGACGAATGTAAAGAAGAAGACGAATGACCAGTGTAAACGATATAGTGAATGATCGAACGCGTGGACTTTTGTACATATACATGGCACTATTCTGCCCGCAAACGGCGGGGCCAAAAACAGACTACGGGCGGGACCAGTGCCGCACTCCCCCACCCACCCCCGTCTGGAGATTCCTGGCGGGCGCGGCGCCGAGTCGGCGGGGCTTTGGGTGCAACCATCGCATACCCCGTGTTCCCGCTTAAAGGCGCCAGACGCTCTCGCCCGTGTCTCTACCCGACGCGCCTTCTTTCATCCAGCCCCAACTGCCATTTGCATCTCCATTACGCGCCATCCGCTCCACATCATGATGCATTATATTGGATGGTTGAAACATGGGAACAGTAAGATGATGCTATGTTCGAAAAATGTCTTTAAAAGCTTTATTTTCCATTTGTTAAATAGCGCAGCAACTGTTTTTTGTTATTTCTCCTGGAAACGATTTCAGTCTAGGTGAAAACATACCTGCAAAACTAAAGAACACAATTATGTTGTAAATAAAATGTTGATCAATATGGTAAAAACTAATAGGTGTAATGTAGTATTACTAAGTATTAAACCAGTACTAAAGTGCTGTTTAAAATTACTGTAATATTAATATTAAAGTTATGTTACAATATAAATTATTTTAAATAATACATCTTAGTAATTACTAGAGCACGAAGTTCAACATCATGACTTTTTATTGTTAATATTTTATGACTTTTAACAATAGGAATCACTTAATTGTACTTCTGGATTTGTTTTAATAGATTTTAATTTTTGCATACTATTGCCCATTTTTGCATATTTTTGGTATTTTTCCATCTTCGTAATTTTTTTTGTTTTTTCTCCTGGAAACGATTTCAGTCTAGGTGAAAACATACCTGCAAAATTAAAGAACACAATGTCACAGTCGTTTTGTCTTTCTGCAGAGGCTCCAGGGCCAGAAGGTTGATAATTTTATTTTTTTCATTGATGCCGACAGGCATTGTTCTTCGACGAAGAATCACATCCTACTTTTGAGTATGGACTCCGACCCATTTTAACGACAGAGTATCTCAATGGTGGAGATTACTGAAGTACGAAAAATATAATTCCGTTTTCACTGATAGCATTTCAAGATTTAAAAGGGAGTCCACAATAACTTTTCAAAGAAACAGCGTTGTGAGTGAAACAAATTCGTAGTCTTCACACCAAGTGGCCATGTGGAATTAAGATTACAAACAAAATATCATTTCCTTTCACGTTAGTTCTAATGCGAGTTTCGAAGTTAAAATAAAAATGTGAATGTTTTTAATTATTGTTTACATACTTCATTAAAAATGCGATTTTTCATGCTTATATTCATCTTTGCACCCTTAATTTATCCACAGTAAATGTCTTTTCCCTACCTGTTTTAGGTAAAAAAATGCCTGAAGTTCAAGTCTCTAGTAATTATATTTTCAAACGCAAATGAGAAATAAGAACCTTAATATCTTTATGAAAAAGACAAATTTACGTCTTCTTAATCCAAGATGAAGTCTGGGAGTTGAGAAACGAGAATAGGTTCCTTCTCGCTATATTGTTCTTTTCCTTTTGATGATGCAAACGCTTGTAAGTGACAGTAATAACCATGAACATTTACCTTTCCCACAAATTACCTAAAACAGTTGACAAAAAGAGTGTTCTTCATATGTAATAAATTTTGTGCTAGTGTTGTAAAGCGAGATGTAACAGCTTAATAATCTGTTCCCTTCTGTTAACACGGAGGCAATGTATGTCTAGCGGTTTAACTACCGTCATCTGTAACATGGATTTTTGCGTGCTTCCGCTGCTTTTGAAACTGACGCGGCAGAGAATGGGCAGCGTAAACACATGAGAAACCGAGTCTTCTCTTTGTATAATTATAAATATTTACCAACGGAAAAGATAAATGTTATGTTTGAACACAATTGCAATTTGCACCAAAATGCGCTAATATTTTGTCATAAATGCTGTTGCAAATGGGTAAATAGAGTGTCTTAGTGTAGGCTAGAACGTTAAGAGACTCTACTTACAGTATTGATTTGAAAGTAGAATGTATCTACGGAATTCATTTCACTTATGGTTTCAATTATGGTTTTAGTTATGGTTTATCCACGACACTGAAAGTCACTAGAAACAAAATTCTATATGAATTTTAAATAGTGTTAAATAAATATTGAGTTTAAAATTAAGAATAAAAAGAGAAAAAGAATCAAAGGAATCATCAATCTTTCCTTTAAGATTTCATTTGAGCTAAGTAGTTGATGTTTGGCTGACTATTTTGATAGAAACGTTGACAGGGTAGTCAGATTCTTGTATCTCATTTGTCAGAGACACAGTATTGTGTGTTAACTGAAAATAAATATTACTTATTGAGCTAACACTTACAACATACAAGTTTTGGTGTTATGGAAAACTGTTTTTATGAGCACTTCTTCACTACCATTTGAAATTTTTTGAATAGTTCTTTTGGGTTTTCTTAAAAATAATATTGACTTATTAGATTCAATAACAGACGCATTCTGGGATAGATAATTTTTTCACGAATTTCTTTTTCCAATGGCAATAACATCTAACGCATTTCATAATGAGCTATTGATTACTCAAACTATTGCATAATGCATATAACTGTAGCAACTACATGCAATATTTTTTGTGAAAAATATAAACTACACTTTAAAACGTTTTCTGTCTTCAGATGTACTATTTTACCTTTTTATACGTATTTGAAAAAAAATAATTATTCCTTTTGGAATATACGTGGAAATGTTGATACTACAGTGAACACTCTCATATATGCATATATAAAGTATTGTTGACAATTACTCTCTCTACCTCAATAGCAGTTTAGTAGAAATGAGATTTGTACAATTCTCTTTAAAGACTGGCCCTTTCACGGAATGTATTTTTCATTCTCTTCCACTAATTGAAAATCATGCAGACCATTTCAACAAATATACATAACTTTATGAACATATTTGTCGTCTGCAAATAATTAAAACTGCCATCATGTCGTTCTTCGAACAAAAGTTTATTTCATTTCTTTCTTTTTGCAGCTCCTACAACGCCCCCTGCTGCTGCGGATGTGCACCGGAGGATGAAAGCATTATCGGAATTTCAAGAAGCTACGAAAGAAATTCATTACTTCGGATATTGAGAAGCGAATTCCGTGAACAGCTAGTGTTGTCAAAACGAAAATAACGATTTATTATTAAAAGTCATTTACGAATGAATAAATTTGTTATATCTTGGAAGAAGAGCAAGTGTGCTTTTTTCTCGTATAGTGATTAGATATCAGTGTTCGTGAAGTGTAGAAAAAAATGCAACGCGAATATGTCAAAATAGTGTTAGATTTTAAAATAACTGCGCGAGAAGTAAAATTTTCATCGTGACACACGGAAATCATTTGCAACTAGTAAATAACGTAGTGCAGAATAAATTTGAAAAAAAAGTGATTAGGGTATAATATTTAACACTAGTATTTTGACGGAAAGTGTGGGGGTGGAAAACCTACTTTAGAATAGATTGAATCAAAAGGCATCAAGTCTCGTCGTTTGTGTTTCCAGTGAGGCAAGACGAACCTCCAACCTCTTGTGCAGCAAGTGCATCTCCCTCGCAGCAACGCCATTCAACTTCGACTCCAACCCGGACACGCCCCCATCCCCCCCGCAACCGGCAGAGAACATGTGCGTACGCAGGGCACACTCTCTTTCACTAGCGCTCGCGGGCGGAGCACCGCCGAAACGCCTTGCAGCAACGTGCGGGCGCCGCCGCGCACTCGGTCTACTTCTAGCGAGACGGCCGAGTTTCCCTATGCATTGTGTGCCGCGTCCGACCTTCCCTTTCAAGACCTCTGTCACCGGCGGCCCCGCGACCAAGAAGGCCGGGCACCGCCCCGCCTCCGCCCGCGCCGTCGCTCTCTCTCTCCACCCGAGACGCACCGCCCGACCCTTCTCGCGGACTTGTTAACGGGCTAAAGTGGGCCGACCTTCGTAGAGGCGCGGAGCAGCAGCAGCAGCGAGCGAGAAGAGAACAAGAGCGAGTCAGCTTTTGTCCCGGGCGGCGCGGAGGAAAACGAGAGGAGATCGGGAAGCACGTTGAAAATTGGCGGCAGGGGCGCTGCTGTTGGGAGCGAGATGTTGTTAGCCGCGCCGGGACGCCGGTGGGGCCCGCGGCGGTGAGGACGCGGGCGTCCGCCGTCCTCGTCGGCCCCCGTCCCCGTCCCCGCGCCCCGTCCTCGTCCTCCTGGTCTGTCGCCTCGTCGCCGCCGTCATGAACGCGACGGAGCTGGCCGCGCTGGCGGCCAACGCGACGGCCGTCAACGACTCCGACGCAGCGCTGGCCGTCACGGACGAGATGGACCCGCAGTTCTACTCGTACCGCTACCGCATCGTCGGCACGTTCTTCCAGGGCCTCGTGCTGCTCGTCGGGGTGCTCGGCAACCTCATGGTCGTGGTGGTGGTGAAGCGCAGCCCCAGCATGCGCAGTCCTACCAACTGCTACCTGGTGAGTGTCACATTCAGTCCACTATTTTCAGGAGGTTATACAACATACTGCAACATACTGTATAATTGACCTCCATGTTAACCATTTCTATGATAATTGACATTTCATTGATATTTTATTATATATAATATTATTGTATAAGATATCAGGGACCAGATCAGACTTTAGGAGCAGAGAGCCCTATGCCAATTTTTCAGAAACATTGAGGTATTTCCTTATCAGACGGCCTTGTAGCCTGTGTCTCTGAAAGAAGCTATAAAGTTTGACAACTAATAACAGAGTATTTCAGTGATGACGTGACGCAGTTTGACTAGTAACTAAATGAAGTCTCAAATATCATCTGTCCTAGAATCCCCTCAAATACATCTATCCAAAGACCATTTAAAAAAAATGTAGTCCACATTGGACCACGTGGCGGTGTGACCCAGACCCGTTATTTCCAATCGTTTGTGGCGGGCACTAGTGAATATCGTAAGGGAAAACTTACTATTCAGTTCAAATCACAACTGCATCTATAAGCTGTGAATGCCACTTTTCAATGGGCGCCTATAAAAGGTGAAGGGAGAAGTAAAACAAACTAGTGTAAGGTGAACCTTCAACATTGACTTTTGATTCTGTACATATTCAGAGGGAGTTCGGATTCTTTGCGGGCTCTGCTGTGTATGAAAGCAATGTATCCTTCTTGTTGGATTTCCATCTTTTTTTTATATTTAGTCTGTAACTTATCTTCACCTTCAATCGTAAAATTGTGCTGTATTCTTGTTATGAGGTAATCAAAATGCGTTATACCTAACTCAAAGAACATTGTAAATGACTACCTATTTTAGAGCATAGTAACAATATGCAAACGTTTTGAGAACATTATCCAAATTACAATTTTTTTAATGGTTGTTGCCTGAGAAGCCAAAACCGGTTAACACGTATCAACACCTTTCATAGAAAACACATCCCGTGTTACGTTAACTCAAGAAGTTGTTGATATCGCATGTTAACATACTTATAATTTGCCATACGTTTTCTAAATCACTGGAAATATTTGATACAGTTGTCGAAATTCCAACCTACAGCCATTCCTTGGCTTCAAGATGTTTTAATATGAGGGACCAACAATCTATATCGCGGAGCCTGAAAACTACACGAACGTA